GGGGCGGGGGCTGAGGGGGGTGTGGGGCTGGAGTGAGGCAGTGTGGGGCCGAGGCGGTCTGTGGGGCTGGAGTGAGGCAGTGTGGGGCTGAGGGGGTCTGTGGGGCTGGATGGAGTGAGGTGGTGTGGGGCTGAGGGGGTCTGTGGGGATGGATGGAGTGAGGTATTGTGAGGCTGAGGGCGTCTGTGGGGATGGAGTGAGGCAGCGTGGGGTTGAGGGGTCTGTGGGGATGGGGCCAAGCAGTGTGGGGCTGAGGGGATGTCTGGGGCTGGGGATCAGGCAGCCTGGGGCTGAAGGGATTTGGGGGACTGAGAGGATGCATGGTGCCAGGGGGATGTGTGGGGCTGGGGGACTCTGCAGTGGGCCCAAGGAGGTGTGTGGGGCTGGGGATGTTTTGCAGACAGATGGGGTGGCTGTGTCGGGCTGTGGGACAGGGGGCTGTGGGGTGGCAGAGACAGGGGTTAGGGCTGTACTGGGGTGTGGGGCAGTGGTGGACGAAGAGGGGTGGGAGCCAGCTGGGGGGCTGTGGGGACAGCCGATGTGGGGTGCAGAGGTGAGGAGGGATGGGGATTCTGGGGTTGGAGTGCACAGGGGAGCTGAGGTGAGCCAGGGGATCCTGACTTGGGGGCAGAGCCATGGGGGAAAGGTACAGGGACCACCAGGGCAAAGGGGCCGTAGTGAGGGTGCCGGGGTCGGAACCTTTGTGCACTGAGTGCACGGGTGAAGCTGGTGAGTATGGTAGCGAGCCTGGTGGGCTTGTCTATGAGAATAGGGTCTGAAAGACCTTGGGGAGCTTTGGAAGTGCAGAGCTGTGGAGAGAGAGGTAGAAACCCAAAGGATGGGAGAGCCAAGAGCCAGAGTCGTTCAGAGCCTTGAAGCATGCTAGGGGGAAGGTAGGGGAGCAGAAAAGGACCGCAGGCTGGAGAGGGGACGATGCGGAGGCAGGTTTGGGGTGCAGTATGGGAGGAGGGAGCAGAGAATGTGTAACATGGTAGTGCTGCACCAGTGCTCACAGCTGGATGGGGTTTCATCTCCCTCCACTCTCTTCTTCTCGTTTTTTTAGGAGTCAGAGTGTGTCACCACCTTTGCCCACCAGACTGTGGAATATGAAATTGCCCCTGGTAACTAATTCCAAAGCTGTTTTTTTTTTTTTTTTTTTTTTCTCTCCTTGTTGGTGGTTTAATATTTTTTCCCCCGCAGGCTGGAATATAGGTCTTAGCTGGCTGAAGTGGCCTAGGAGTCCTGCCCCCTTCCCCGTGCTGGGAACAGTAAGACATTTGGGAACTGGCACCTTTTTGGCAGCCAGCCATAGCAAGAACATAATTCTCCGGAGTAATATTTATCTGTAATCTTTCTAGCAGTGCTCTGTCCAAATTTTGATACAGCTTTATGGTGTGATCTTTCTCCCTCCCCTAAAACTTAAGCCTGACTACAACAGGAGCCCTATCAAGTGGCAAAACATTAACAGTATTAGCAGAGAAGTTGGTTCCGATAATTGTAATTGGGTGACTTGGGACTGCGCAGAAGTTGAGCTCCAGCAACTGTGTCCGTAATCCTGCAATTTGGGGACATAGTTTAGCAAACAGTAAAGCTGAGCGTGACCCAGGGCGAAGTGTCTGTAATGTTTTATGCTCCGCTCCCTCTGTGGATAAATCCCTGCAGAGGAATTGTCGTTTAAGACTAGGTGTAGCTTAGTGCACAGGTTTACATCTCTGGGGTTTGGCCCCTGCCCCTGGGCACCAGCCCTTTGAGGCTTCTCCAGTTTACTTTTGAATTTCTGCTCCCTTTCCCTTGTCCATCTCCCCTAACCCCCTTTCTGGTTTCCTCGCCAGGAGTTTGTTTAAGCTTTTTACCATCTGTGTCTCATTGTAAAAGCAAGACGAGCCAGTTGAAAATGAAATGATTTCTCCTTATAAAGCCCGTAGTTGGCTTAAGACACTTTCCTTTATTTAAAAGACCGAACGGTGACTCCCCTGGACAGAGAAGAAGTTTGTGGATGTGCCTTGTTCAACAGCAGCACGATCAGACTTGAGTCTGCTGCAGGTCCAGCCGCTACCCAAGCCTCAGGTGCCCTCTGAGAGCTCTCGATTGCCAACTCTTACGGCAACAAAGAGAGTTTTTTCCGCTGCTCTGAGCGGGAATCGGAGAGGCTTCAGGGGTAGATAAGAGTCCACAGCTGCTGCAGCGGTGGTGACACAGCCATCCTATGTCACGAATGTGAGTGTTTTTTAATAATAAATGTGAATCTCGTGCTGGTGAGCCATGCTACACTAATCTCCTGCCGGTTGAAGGACTCTGGAGGATTTTTAGGAGGAATAGGTGTGGGAAGAGGTCGGTTCTTTTACAATGATTGTTGCAAAAGGGGAGGGAGTTCGTAAGAGGAATATTTGATAAATGTGCATCCCTAATGTGTCTTTTCCGAGAGGTATTTAAAACAGGCACTATCAAAGTTGAGAGACCCCAAATTGAGCTTTTTCCTCTTAAAGGACAGAGGTTTCCTGCTTCTAACAAATTCTCCTGGCTCCAAAAAGGGGGGGGGGAAGTTAATCATTTGTCTCTTGAACGCCCAGCAAAGGTAATAAGCAAATCCCACGCAACCTACAGGGTTTGATGTGCTTTTTTCTACATGAAACGTTAATCTGACACTGTCTGTTCTGTATTGGGGACCACATGGCACTTTTTGTAATGACAGAGCTGGCTTTGATAGCTTTACCAAATACTTCCCTGTTTTTTTCCCCACTGGGAAGTGGAACATCTGTCACGTTGTCCTCCTGAGATGCTGTGTTTTCGTCGCGTGGGTAACAAAATCCTCATACAGCGAATTACACTGCCTTAAAACCCCTTGGCACATAGACCAGAATCAATTAACTATCTAATAAGCTTGACCTGTAGATTATGGAGGCGTGCCTCTTAATTCAGTATTTATAAGTGACTCTAGAAAACTTGGTCTGTAAGATGTAAAGTCGAGATGTTCCCATCAGCTCTTCTTGAAGGAAAATTAGCTCTGATGGGTTTGAGAATCAATCCAAATGCAAAATACGCCTCCTGTTAAACTGACGAGGTTTCAGCTTTTATTTTGCATTTCTTTTATCAAAGGGGTTGCAGTTTTTTGGCATTTCTGAACTCACAGAAGCCAACCTTTCCCCTCTACCCCACCAGTACTCCACTGCAGCCGGATGAAGCCCCTCCATGGAACCGAAATCGTGGATTTAAATCCCACGAAGTTATAACTAATTTGAGAACAATTCTACTACTGTTGAATCAGTTGCATTTTGGGAGCCTAAAGGGAAACGTCTTTCTAGATGCAGAGTGGTGGTGAAACTCTGTGTGCCTTTTCTTATTTAAAAGGGAGAGTGTTGGGAGTTGCTCCTATCCCAGGTTTAACTCTCTTTTACTTGCATGAAAGAAAAGATTGTGCTATAATTTGTGTGTATATATATACACATAGAAGTATATATGTGCTTCCACAGCACTCTTTGTCATCCCATGGGTGTTTCTGCTTAAACAAGTTACTCCAAAATCATATTACGAGTTCAGGAGAAGGATGATTTTGTGAACGACTGCAGGATTGAGCTGAGTTTCTAGGTCTCTTGCCTGGTGTGACTGTGCAGAGGTCTCTGAGACCCTTTTTATTTTTCCTTCTGTGAAATGGGAATAATTCTCTATTTTCTCTGCTTCGGGCATCTTTCAACTTAACCCTGTCAGGCTTGTTGGACTCATGGTGAAAATCTGGAGGTTGCTGTTGGGGAGACTCCTGTCAGTGAGGCAGGTTGATAAATGATGCCAGCCAAGGTATAGAGGTGGCGCCTGATGCATGTTCTTGCTTAATTGCAGCCTTTCTCATTAATGGCTGATGTCTGGTTTTGGATTCGATGTCTGATGTGTCTCTTTAGAGGAACATCGGGCCAAAACTGGGCATTCCCAAAGTATATTTTAGAAATAAAAGAATAAAAGCAATGGCTGAAAACCTCTGCAGTCACACTAGGGCTTGGCTTTTCTAAGCCAGCCTGAAGGAGACTTAAAGCGAGAGCTTTAAACCCAGAGAGGTACAAAAGCTTTAGTTTAAATGCAAGGTTGACCCTACAAGAAATTGTCAGCATTTATTTGAAGAGAAGGTGATTTAACAACCATTTGGGTGTCAGGAACTGCTCAGGGCTCCATTGAATCAGGAAGTGAATGCTACCTTTTGCATTTCCAGATCCAAGCAAAGTATCTAAAAACCAAATCTAAATATTTACAGTTCTGCTACTAACGAGTTATTGATGACAATGGGAACTTCAAACTTGACAGTGTCTCTTTTAAGGCCTCCACCGTCTTCCTTAATGAACCCATGGCTTGTTTTTTGATTGTGTCTGTCACACAGCGATTGTAATGGTGGTCGTTTTATTTTCTTGCAGCATATGGTTATGAGCTTTAGGGTATCAGAATTACAAGTTCTCTTGGGCTTTGCTGGAAGGAACAAAAGTGGAAGGAAGCACGAACTTCTCACAAAGGCCTTACAGCTGCTGAAATCTGGCTGCAGCCCTGCTGTCCAGATGAAAATTAAAGAACTGTACCGGCGGAGGTTCCCGAGAAAGATCTTAACCCCTTCGGACTTGTCAATGCTCCACATTCAGGCAGGGCAACTGCCTTCGGCCACCGCGCTGACACAGGGCACCGTGTGTCACCTGCCCTATGACCACAGCTCTGCTGCTGCTGCCGTGCCGGCGGCTCTGCTGCCGCCAGTGCCTGTGCTGGGACCCAAGCACGAGACAGATGTACAGCACCTATCGCCACCCATCCATCCTGTCCATCCGGATGTCAAGATGAAGAGGCTGCCCTTCTACGATGTTTATGATGAGTTGATAAAACCCACCACGTTAGGTACGTTCAAAAATGCTCAGTCCTCTTGTTCTTTGGAGGCTCCTTTTGTTCGCTCAGATAGAAGGATTTGAGCTAGAGACCTTTCAACAAGGAGTGGTGTGAGTGGATTCAAAAGGCTGATATCCATGTGAAAGTGGGATTTCATAGACTCATGGAATGGTTTGGGTTGGAAGAGACCTTTAAAAGGTCACCTAGTCTGACCCCCCTGCTTGAGTGGGGACATCTCCCACTCAATCAGGTTGCTCAGAGCCCCGTCCAACCCAACCTTGAATGTCTGCAGTGATGGGGCATCGACCACCTCTCTGGGCAACCTGGGCCAGTGCCTCACCACCCCCAGCATAAAACATTTCTTCCTGACATCTGGTCTGAATCTCTCCTCTTTTAGTTTAAAACCATCGCCCCTTGTCCTGTCGCTACAGGCCCTACTAAAAAGTCTGTCCCCATCTTTCTTATAACTATTGAAAGGCCACAGTGAGGTCTCCCTGGAGCCTTCTCTTCTCCAGGCTGAACAACCCCAGCTCTCTCAGCCTGTCCTCGTAGCAGAGGTGTTCCAGCCCTCGAATCATTTGAACTGATAATTTCCAACTCTGGGCTGCCAGAAGTGGAAGCTTTTAGTTGCTTGTCAGTCTTGTTCCAAATTTATTTGCGTGAAAAAGGCTATTTCTCTCCCAGCTGACACCTTTTCTGTTAAGTGTATATTTTATAAGTATATGTAAGTTTTGGATTATTTACTGTTTTCACTTGATAGAGCCTGGGGTTTTCTTTGCGTTCTGAATTGTGAAGCTTTCTCTGGTCTGTGGTATGTCAGCATTTGGGTCCTAATCCCAAGAGAATAAAAACAAGGATAAATTGGCATGGGCTCCCTTTCTGAACAAATCAGTGAATGCTAGGAGAGTTAATTATAAAAAGTGGTTTGTTATTTTTGCAAACAACTGGTGTTACAACTTCCAGCAAAATCCTCCGCCACCTTTAAGTCTTAATTCTGCTTTAATTGGTAACAAACATGTAGTCCTAAAATCTTCCAATATCTAAAATTAATGAGCTGTTTTATGCATAATGATCCAGCTTGAAGGTTGCAAAGATGAGAAGAGGTCGGCTCTGTTGTGATGAGAAAACTTGACGTCAGGCAGGAAGCAAACGGGGATCTTAAATAAGAGCTGAAATGGGGTATGGCAAAAGGGCAAAGCTGCTTGTTTTTCGACATGATGTGGAGGCCGAGCACTCCGATGCTTCCTCATTTTTAAAATAGGGAAGAGAAAATGTTGGGTTTTGCTTAATTCCAGAAAAGTTGTATGTTTGCTGTAATCTTTAAAATGCTGGTGGGGAGAAGTATGGTACAGAGTTAGCCCAGTAATTGCTGGTGGTTTTGGAAGCACTGCTGCACTTGGGGTGATTTGGGCCCATGAAGAAGGGAGATTTCTTCTGGTTTTTAGAATAAGTTGTATTTTTACTTTAGATTGAGCCCTTCTGGCCTCTTCGAACTAGATCCACCCATCTTATGCCTTTTAAATGTTTTTTGCTTGGATTCAGGGTGGTTTTCCTTTCATATAAACATAGTAATGTTTGCTAAAGTGAAGTGTGTCTGTACTCCAACCAAAACCCATGTGCTTTTTTGGGGGGGGATTTGGTTTTGTTACTGTTTTGCTAAAAATTGCCTTTTCTTAGGTTTGGCTTTGTTCAATCTCTCAGAAAACCCGTGGTTAAGCTTCTTCCCTGAAATGGGATACGTGCCTTGCAAAAGAAATGATTATTTTTTTTTTTCTCTCCCTTGATAAAACTCCCTTCCTTATGTGTTGGTGCTTGAACTTGAAAGAGTTTTTATGTAATTCCTAGGGGATCATGGACTTTTATTTTTGCCTTCTGGTGGTTTGTGTCTTTCTTCTCCCTTTAGCTGTGTAAATGTCCCCTTCCATTCATTTATTTTAGTTACTTGGGGAAATTTTATTATAAGTGTCCAGATATGAAGGTTGTGGTATCAGAAAAATGTCAGAAATAAGCAATATGTGGGAAAGAAAAATGAAAACAGGATGGAGAAGGTGGTGATGGGTGGAGACAGTGTCACGGGGGTTAATGATAAAGCCTCCTGGACTGTCTGTGCTTTGTTTGCTGCAAGTGAGGAATATCTAGGCTTTGGCTTTCCCACTCCCCATCCTATATGAAACCTCTAGCTGTGTTACTGTGAATCTTGGAGATGTCTGAATCTCGGAGAGGTCAGTGTTTCTCTCTGGGTTGGATGAAGGCTGTCAGCTGAGCAATAACACTGGTTATAAATTGCTTGTTAGGTAGAGGTTGGTTATCAGTTATAAATGGAGGCAGCAGAGAACAGAGAAAGCTGCAAATTTTGAGCAGCTTAGCCTGGCACTGTTTGGAACAGAATCAGGATCCGATTTTGTCATTGAGGAGTGAAAGGCTTAGGCAGAAAGTCCTAAGATGGTCAAAATTCCTCTGAATGTCTCCAGTCCTGTCTGCCAGCCCGTCGCCACTACTGCAGGTCCTGGGGAAGATCTGGCAGGTCATCTGCCAGGAAACTCAGGGCCTCTCATTCCTCACATTCCTGAGCTGCAGGAGGCTGGAGAAGCAAAACCCCTCGCCCCACTGAGGAATCTGTGCTTGAATGTGCTTTTTGGGGAGGCCAGCGTAAGGGTGTCCCTCTCCGAAGGCAGGTGGCACAGAGGATGAAGCTAACCTTCTCCTCTGTGGATCCATAGTCGCTGTGGATGGTCACGCTGTGGCCAGCTCATCACAAGTGTTACCGAACTCATTGAAATAAATAAAAGATCAAAATATGAGATTTACACTAACACATGCCACTGTGATAAAGTCCTCAGCTTCGTTGTCTCCTGACCCAGGGATGCTCCATGTCCCAGAGAGCACCGGTGGGAGCTGTTGTTGCTCAAGACTTCTCCTGATGGGTGTAAAAACGAGTGCAGAAGAGGCCAAATTGGCTCTTTGCAAATTACATTGGCTTACAATGTCAGTGGTCTTCGTTCTAGGATACTGATACTCTGCAAATGTTAATAAAATAGTTCATGGTGGTTGTGAGGGAGGCAGACACCTGCCAGTTTTACTGAGGGAGAAGCTCAGGCATAAAAGAAGTAGTAACTTGGTTAAGGTCAGGGTAAGAGAGGGGGAAATCCTGGTTTATTTTTACATGTATTTTGCAAAGAATGTTTTTACTGTGCTCATCACTAACCCTCGCATAAAATTCTTGATTCTCCCATTATGTGGGTTTCTCCGTGTCTGTTTATTTTAATCAAGGGCATGGCTGGTTTTCTGGAAATTTGCCATGACTCTGACCATGTGCTCGAGGAGAAAATGGCAATGCCTGATTATTGTTCGGCAACTGTGCTTACTCCATAATCACAGTAATTATTATAATTTCTAAGGCAATGGATGACCTCTGGCATTCCTTTTGCTCCACATTTGATCTCACTCTTCCCAACCTGTCTGCTGATCCCTGGGAAGCGCTGTGCAGCTCTTCATGGACTCGGGAGGCTGTTGCAGACCCAGGAGAGTGAGCGGGCGGTTTTCCCGATTTCCTCACCATTTGCTATCTGTGCAAGCCACCTTACTTTCCAGGCCTCAGTTTTCCTTGTAAATAAAATGATGGAAACTGAATGTCTACCTTGAAAGACAGACCTGACGCTTGGTTACATGGTCAAGGACTTGGAGGGCCCCTGCATGGGAACTGCAGTTCATTTTGATGACAGATTGTGTTCTGCTTTTAGTGGATGCTGTCCTGTGTTTATGACAAGCCTTGGCGCCTGCAGGGGTAAGGTTGACTTAATGATGATGTAATTTGTCTTAAATTCTCTTTTTCAGCCTCAACAAACAGTCAACGGTTTGAAGAAGCTCACTTTACCTTTGCTCTAACCCCCCAGCAAGTTCAACAGATCCTCACCTCCCGGTAAGTGAAATGGTGTCTCTGGATGCTTCCCTGCTGTGGCTGCATGTTCTTCCCCGGCAGAAAGGGGAGTGGAGTCAGGAGGAAAAATGGGCAGAGTTTGGATGAGCTGAGCCTGGCAGATGAGGAGGTCAGGGACAGTCAGAATAGGAGGAAGCGCTGAATCTTAAACAATTCACGTTTCTGTGCTCCAGTGCAGTATGGGAGAATAAAATGCCAAGCTGGGTGTGGAAAGGGGAGTTCCTTGATGTCAGTGGTGCTGTGCTGCTTACAGCTGTTGAGGACCTGCCTCAAAGGTTGCAGAGTGGAATTCTTGTATGGAAGAAAGACAATGTGGTAATTAGGGTAAAAACTTGCTAGTTAATCCCAAAATTTAGGACTACCCTCCACCTGTGCTTAAAAACATGATCATTTGTTTGCACTGGCAAGCCTGTAGTTGGCATTATATTCTTAAAACTCAGCAGTAGGAAGAACCTTTGAGGTTGATTTTCTGCTTTTCCCACCACTCTCTCTTCTGTTCGATGGGCTTTTGCTTTATGTCCTTGTTTGGACTATGCCTGCTAGTTCAGACAGGTATTACTTGTTTTTACAATTCAGCTGCACTGATTTTATTCATAGTACAATTAGCATGTATCAGTATTAATATAACTTAATAAAATTTTAGGCTGTTGTAGTTGTAATTCTCTGTTAAGTGCTGCTGACAGTCTTAAGAACTTTTCTGTTGCAGAGATATCTTACCAGGTGCCAAATGTGATTACACTATACAGGTGCAATTAAGGTAAGATAATGTCTTTTTGATGAATGCATTAAGTCCTGTTCCCTGAGCTAGTGCACCGGTATTAATTTGTCCTTGATTTTGCTGAATCGTGCTTGTAGCACTTGATTTTGTTTGCAATTGTGTGTCAGTTTGCTCAGAGGAAATTTTAAACGTTTGGTGCCGTGTTCTGAACTCAGGTTTTCTGTTCACTCCCATATAGAAACCAATATGAGGTTTCTATATGGGAGCTTCTATGTGTGAAACACCAAACTAAGAGGGTCTTTCTGAACTCAGCGAGGCTGAGCGAGTGTTCCTGTTGTCTTCTCTCTCTGGGTGGCACTTTGCTGGCACAGGTGACATGGCCTCGCGCATGAGTTTTTTCAACTTTAAGTGTAGTAAAATCTAATCTTTTTCAGAGCTTTGCGCACTTATATAGAACGCATTTCTTTCTCTTCTCCATTTTAATTATTTGCCTTATTGCAGATTCATTGCAAAAGGCAGAATAAAAGGCAAAAACTACATTACCTTAAAATTTGAATGTTTTTTGATATCCACCTAGTTATTACTCAGGAAAATGCAAGACATGTTGGAGAGCGTGAGTAGAAAAATAACTTGAAAGTGCCTCACGGATTACCCTCTGATTTTTGCAGTCAGCACCAGGGTGGTTATTTAAGTGCCTACCCACGCTGTCTTGCGGCACTGAACAGGAACTGAGGAGGTTCCTGCCCAACATTCAACCCTTGGCAGGGTTAAAAAACATTACATTTTATTATCAGGGGTTTGAACTTGGCAAAGAGACAGAGTATTACCACTGTACTCTCAGAAAAAAGTGATGAGGAGTTTAGGGCTTTAGTTGTGATATCTGGAAGTCTGAAGAAAAGCGGTTATTTGAAATTGAAGTCTTTAATTTAATTCAAAAGAGAGCCTTTTGGTTTTCAGGAGGGCATTCCATATTAATTATGATTCTGTGACAGTGTCTTTATGATATGGGGCTTTACAGTCACAGTTTTCCTGCTGTGTCCATCTGTTCCGCTCTTGCGCGCAGAGCTGGTAGAGCGAAGCATACGGGCATCCTGTTCCCTGAAATGCATCAGGAGGTGGATGCTTGGAAATGTCTCTTCTGTAGTGCAGAAAAAGACCATGTGTGTTTTTGAAGGACCGGTTTCAGTGTATATATATGTCTCTTACTATGTTTTGGATATTGGAGATGAAACAGAGTTTACCAAACTTTCAGGAGTCTCCTGGGTGTCCAGAGTGCATCCCTTCACCTGAAGAAGTGAACCTTTATTCAGCAAACTTTAGTGCAGGAGTTAAAAATGACGGTGGGACCATTTCTTCTCTCCTGCTGATACGCTATGCAGTATTCTCATGTTGCCAAGCAAGAAAAAGATTAACTCTCAATTTTATTCTTTGTTTCATTTGGCAAGCAGAGAGAGGTTAAAGAACAGTAAGATCAGATTTATTTTTTGAGAACATTGGTGGTGTGGCTCTGTGTCGGCGTGACATGCCAGGGCTTGATCTTGCAGCTCAGAAAAAGCCGGCCGAGGTCACAGTCTGACTCATGACTATGCAGCAGGACTGTGGTTTCAGCATGGGGAGTTGTCTCTGGTGGAGCACCCTCCTTTGAGAGAAAATAGAGCACACGGCCATCTGATTAAATGGGATTAGGATTTGAAGCAGAGCCCATTCTGGGTTGCTGGTGCTGATGGTTGGACTTGATGATCTTAAAGGTCTTTTCCAACCTAAATGACTCTCTGATTCTATGATGAGGGAGGCAATGGTAGGATATCGAGTGGTGGTGGATGACGTTTGAGAGACTCCAAACAGTAACCAGTCTGTCCTATTGCAAGATTCACTTTGGGTCAAATATAACTTTTTAGTTCCTCAGGTGCTTGTGTTGGGTAACTTAAACAGATGTAGTTCCTTGCATCTTGAAGCACTGCAGAATCTATAGGTGAAGTTGCACATAATTGCACCCAAACCTGGATTAAACCATCTGATACAACGCTGCTGGTGTGGGAATTATATCAGGGTGGCCAGAGTGAATGGCAGTCCTTCTTCATCCTAAATGGCACCCGGGTTAGCTGTCTGTACTGCTTGAACACGGAGCTCGGTTTGTGTCATTCTTGGAATGATGTTAGGCCAGAGGAATACACTTTGCCTTCGAAACATCGATTCTGGATAGCCTAAATTGTCATCTGGGCTGAAAAAAATTAGCCCTGTCCCTGCACACTTCACAGCATGCACGTTCGCAGTTGTTTTAAGTCGCTGGCATTTTTCTGTCTTGTTTCTTGTATCGCTTTTGCTGCGCGTAGGGTTTGAAACACATGTAGGGCTGTTCATCTGCTTAAGTGTTTTCCAGCCATTGGTCTGTTCTGCTTGGAAAATGTTTTTCCCTTTTTAAAGGGAAGTTTGGCTGCCATTTTTTGCAAGTGTCACCGCTCACTTGCCAGTTTCTCCTTCCTGCTTCTTAGGTTTTGCTTGTGTGAAACCAGCTGTCCCCAAGAAGATTACTTCCCTCCTAACTTATTTGTCAAGGTCAATGGAAAACTCTGTCCCCTGCCTGTGAGTAAATCTTATTTCTTCTTAATATGTTGTAGACTAAAGTCTGCCCTTTTACACAGCTGCAGCTTCCAGTGAGTGCAGTGGGAGTGTATTTTCTGGAAATTAAAGACTGACTTGAAGAAATGGTGTGGTTAGAGCGCAAAACTGATTTCATATTAAAGGGCTGTGGATTGGTGATGAAAGCTGCTCTTTGATTCAAGGAGTGTGGTCTTTAAGTAGAAGAATATGCAAACTTTGGGCCTGATTTTTTTGTTTGTTTGTTTGGTTTTTAAACCAGCAGATTCCCTCTCTGGTTTTTTTGCATGCCTCTTTTGACAAGAAACTTGATAATAAAAATGCAGAGTAAAATCTGAGATAAACGGAATAATGGCACTGCCTTTAGTTTATTGCATTGCAGGAAGACCTGGATGTTCCAGTCAAGGCTGGGGTCCTTTGTGCTGGGTAATGTGTAAAAACATAATAAGAAATAGTGCTTGCCCCAGTTTACAGTCCAAAAAGGGATGTGATTCAGTGTCACAGCTAGGAAAGGCATCAGAGGTTTGACAGTCTTAGGCCAGTTCCCTGTCAACTGTCGCATGCTGGCTTAGCTCCATTATAGCTGGCACCTTTTGCAATCAAACCTGCAGAACAGCCTCTAATGCCCTGCCTGAGCTGCTCCCTTAATATTTTTAGGGATTTGCATTTTTTTGCCTCAGATATTCTCTCTGGTTTGGGCCGAGAAAATTAATAACCTGCTTTAAAAAATAAAAATAGAGAGAGGTCGTTTCCAGCCTCATGGGGCAGAAAGAGGGAAGTGCATATGAGATGCAAGATGGCTAAAGGGTCCCCTCCAGCTTCTGCTCACAGATAAGGTTTCTTTCGTTCATTTGGATGAGTCATCTGCAGCTGAGAAGCTGTTTGTACGGGCTGTGTGCAGCACAGCAGCTCAACGGGAACACTTTTTTGTTTTACTTCTGCTTAAACCGTGATGAGTGGCTGCTGAATCAGTCTCAAGCTGCCCAGTCTAACTGAGGGCGACGAAAAAAGGGTGGTGTAAATCTCTCTGAATTACAGAAAAGGCACTCTTGGGCTGAGTAATGGGGATGGGTTTCTAATCCAGTTGGAATGTGGATATAATGAAGCAAAAATGAGATCAACGTGACATTTCTCACAGGATGTAATTTTTTAGCTTCCCAGCCTCATTGATCTAGGTGGGATTTGATTTTTAATTCAATGTCATTTGTGCCCAACACATCCTGGACTGACAGTTCTGTGTTGGTGGAGGGGTTCAGCTCATGATGGGATTCTAGTGTGCTCGTCAGCATAAGGATATTAAAGGGAACCTTTATTCTTAATTTCTTGACGTTGAGGAATAATAATGTACTGCTTTGAAATTTGTGGAGGAATTCTAATACAAGCTCTAAGGTATGACATGAAATATCTGGAGGTGCAATGTGCCATGAAGTAATTGGGTTTGTAGATTCTTGTACATGGCCTTATACCTGGGAGAGAATTTTATATCACATAATCTTTCTTTCTTTGTAGGGTTATCTCCCACCCACAAAAAATGGCGCAGAGCCAAAACGACCCAGCCGCCCCGTCAATATAACTCCATTGGCACGACTTTCGGCAACTGTCCCGAACACGATTGTAGTGAACTGGTCCTCAGAGTTTGGCAGGGTGAGTGAGGTGAAAGCCGTTTTCCATTTGCTGCTGTTCCTTAACCACTGGTTGTTTGCAGCTTCGGGTCATTTTTGCAGTAGCATCAAGCTGTGCAGATCCCGGAGGGCCCTCTCCTTTTCTGGTGTTTTTTTTCTAGGTCTGAGCAGTGTCAACTTCTTTTCCACAGAACTACTCTCTGTCGGTGTACCTGGTGAAGCAGCTGACATCAGTAACACTGCTACAGAAGCTAAGAGCCAAGGGCATCCGAAATCCAGACCATTCGCGAGCCCTGAGTAGGTATCCCCTTGTGAAGGTGTAACTGCGCTTGATCTGATCCTGTGCTAAGTCTGGGCAGACAGAGCAGGTCTGAATTAGCAAGCAAGGGCAGTTGCAGGTCTTTGTGTGCACCCCTTCTTGCAAACCTGCCCATGCTTGCTGAGTCCTGTTGATGAGAACCTGATGGGAAGGTAAGGACTGTAAAGATAATGGATTATTTTTCAGTGATACCATTCAACAAAGCTCTAAATCAAACTGTCCTTTAGATTGCTGCCCATCTCGGTTGTGATACTTCTAAAACACATCCCGTGAGCAGCAGTGGTGCCATTGCTGCTTGCGCTCAAATTGTACGCTGTTGCCCTACAACCAAATGTTTCCCCTGGGCTGTCATTTTACAGGAAGGGTGTAAAATCTTTTAAGGTAGGGACTGTCTCTTTGGTCCAGCTAAGGAGACTTGCCGGAGCTGTTAACCTAGTAGTAGTAATAGTGTCTGCTGCTGTAAGCATTACCTGCCTGTAGTTTGCATAATAAGTGTCATGGTGCAAATTAGAAATCATGTCTGTACGTATTTATGCATGTAAAAGGAGGATGTTGACAGGAGACCTTTTTTCCCCTCCTCTTCTTTCAGTCAAAGAAAAACTAACAGCTGATCCTGACAGTGAGATAGCTACAACGAGCTTACGAGTTTCCCTGATGTGTCCAGTAGGTTTCTACATTTTTGTTCATTTTTCTTGGACAGGCCTTTGTGAACAGCTTCCCGCTTTACCTTACCGTTGCGTAGGAATGCTTTGGAGTGAGACGAGAGCTAATGCTGCTGCAGCCCTGCTTTTGTTGAAAAGTCAGCTTTGACTCCTAAATAAAAGCAGAACCGCTTTCTTTCACGCATAAAAAAATTGCTAAGTTTGTTGGCCTAATGCCTAGCCAAAAAATGTCTTCTGTTGACCTGATCCTTGTCTTTCACCTTTGCTATTAGCATGTGTTTGAGGTGGAAGTGAGCTTAAAAACAAAACAAAACGCAAAAATACCCTCAGGAAAGCTTGTTTTCTCTCGCATGTTAATTCTTCATTGACATTTAGTGTAACCTCTTGTTAAACATGCTAGAGTGCTGGGCAGGGGAGAAAAGGGAATAAGCAGGGAATAACACTGCTGGCTTTACTTCATGCTGTGAGAGGTGGTTAGTACGAAACCAGCTTAATTTCCTCTTTCTTGTCCCCTAGCTGGGTAAGATGAGGCTGATTGTGCCCTGCCGAGCCACCACGTGCACCCACCTCCAGTGCTTCGATGCAGCACTCTACCTTCAAATGAATGAGAAGAAACCCACATGGACTTGTCCTGTGTGTGATAAGAAAGCCCCGTACGACAACCTGATAATTGACGGGTGAGCTGAGCAGGCTTCTTACACAGTCTTTAGCCTGGATAATGTTTTTCTTTTAAGGCTTATCCTCTAATGCTAGCATATATAGACAAGTTAAAGCTTTGAATAACTTAAAATCTGATTTTCATTCCCTAAACTGCTTTGATGCCCATCTGGAGAGATTTCTCCCGAAGAACAAGAAGCCTTTGTCAAAATCTTGGCTTCCTTGCTGGCAGTCTCTGCAGAGGCAGTAATGAGGGAACCTGCTTACCGGGGTTTGAACAGAGCCCTCCTGTGTACATCAGCCCATCGTAAAACTAAACTGGCAGGTGATACGGCACAGATTTTAGAACAGTAATTCTTCGTACCCCTTTTCACCCATCTCCTGAGCACCATCAGTCCCGCGTCATTTCTGCCGTCCGTGTGCGTGTGTTTGTGTGAGTCCTTGTAGCGTTTGCTCTCCCCAGCTTGTGCTTTCACCCGGCAGGTTGTTCATGGAAATCCTGAACTCCTGCACAGACTGTGATGAGATACAGTTCATGGAGGATGGCTCCTGGTGCCCCATGAAGCCGAAGAAGGAGAACCAGGAGGTGTGCCAGACGTCTGCGTTCAGTGGGACTGAGGGTATGGGAGCTTTGGTCACCAATTCTGGTTTTGGATGTCTTTTTTTGCCAAAGCAATGTTTACACTTACAATTTTTACATTTACAAAGCAACATTTGGAGTGTTTCAGATCCCATCTGGGAGCCGGTATTTGGGATCACACTGAAATACCAGGAGCATGACAGGCATTTAGCAAACCACTGTGGAGTAAGTGCTACAAAAAGCACGAAAAATGCAGGTTCCTCTTGAAACTGCAGCATTAATTCCAGGTGGGCTATGGAGACCTGGCCATTAGTGTGGGGATGATGCTTCTGTTCTGGGATGGGGTGTGGATTTGCTACAAGCTGTTTCGAAGTCCCGAGTATATGGCAGGGTTGTCGTGCTTGTAGAGGCAGCGGTGTTTCGCTCGTCTCCATTTCAGCAGCTGAAGCTGATGGCTGATTTTCCTCTGCAGCCAGCTCCCTTTACACTGTGAGCTCTGAGGGCAAGAACTCGTCGGAGGGCAAAAAAAAAGTGGAGGTTATTGATCTCACTCTGGACAGCTCGTCGGATGAGGAGGAGCCGCCTGCCAAGAAACAGTGCCCGGTCTCCAGTGTGGCTCTTCCGACAGCAGCCGGGCCCAAGGGGTAAGGCAGTGCAGGAACCCGACCCCCCCCGTTTTGCTGGGCTTTGGCTTGTTTTGCTTCCTGCTCTCTGCTTGCTTCCTTTCCTGAATGCTGATGCCGTCGCAGTAACCGGATCCGAGTCTGCTCTGTCCCTGGGAAGCATTGCTGCTGCTTTCCACATCTGGCCAGGGTGAGGTGACACAGCTCATTGACCACGGGACGGGGGAGGAGGGAGGGCTTGTTTTTGTTGTAGGTGCGGTAGCATCAGGGGTTTATTTTGGCGATAAGCAACAGGAATTTTGCCCTCAGCATGCCGTTCTGCTTTTGTTAAGGTTCACTGGGTCTGTATTCTCTTTCAGGGTATTAAGTATTGATCACCAGCCGTCTTCTGTGCTTCGAAGTCCTCCCATGGCAGCTCTTGGCAGCGACTATCTCTCCAACCTCCCCGTTCCTGACTACCATCCTTCCTACCAGGTGCCCTCAGAGCTTCAAGGTAACAACCAAGACCTCTGGCAGCATTTACCAAATACACACAATTGTACCAGTTTACCAGACTAAGCAGCTGGCTGTAACAGCTGGTGCCCTGGCCTTCTATTCCACTGAGCTATGGAGGCCTTTGGGTCACACACACACTTCGTCTTTCTTGGCCTGGCAGCTACTGCAGAACAGAGCAAGTATTTTTGAGTGACAGAGTTCACTGGCCCAACACAGAAGAAGGAAGAAGGAAACTAGAGTACCTCCCTCCTGGGGCATGACTCCGGAGAGATTTCTCTAGGGGCCTGCAGGTGAGATCTTGACTGGCAGAAGAACTTGAAATCGGGTTGTTAATTACAGATCACAGGTAGGAACGACCCAGGTTTTGGCTGGTTAGCGTGTCCCAGGGCCACCAGGGAATGAGGCTGTGACTTCTTCTCGTGGGCTCTTGTTGTTCCTGGCTGGCAGGGTGTGATACAGGTTGTGTGTCCTAACCCAGCAGAAGGAAAGAGAGGGGCTCATGTCCATGACTGAGGAGTAAACTCTCCCTTCCTGCTTAGAGGGGAATAATAAACCATTCCCAGGAACGGCCTGGTCTGGGGATCCCCATGTGCTTTACAGGCGTTATTTATGCCTCACTTGTGTGTAAAGCCTGGTTTTACAGGCAGGGAGGCTGCTATCCAGAGAGATGAAGCGATGGGCTTGAGTCCACCCATCAGGTCAGCAGTAGAGACCTGAAAATACTCTCTGTCCTGTGTGCAGTTCACGTGTCCCTCGTGCCCGATTTGATGCGTGTGCGGTTGCTGTCTGATGGAGTGAGTTTGGTCAAGACCCTGAAGCAGAGCGGTTCAAAGTGTCGTGGTGTTGTCAGCCTGGTCGGGGCTGTGCTGACCCAGCCCTTTGTGATTTGCTGAGCTTTGCTGGAACTTGGTTTTGGTGCCAGGCCCCGCGACAGCTCTAGAGAAGTGAAATTTAATTGGCCCTGTGCTGTGGAGTTTGTGATGGAGTTGGAGCTGACAATATTGTGGTATCTAGTACTTGGAAGCAGCCTGAACCCATCTGCTTCTGACTCTCCGTTAGCATGGTTTGGCTCCCCTTCTTGCCAAGAAGTTTATTTACCATCAAGAGATTTATTTTTCCCCTTTTTATTTTTCTAGGTCTGGATTTGTTTTCCTTCCTTCAAACTGAAAATCAGGTAAGTTGGGGTTTTGGTGGGTTTTTTTGTTTCGTTTTTGTTTTTCTTTTCTCGCCAAATCTGCAGACTGGCAAACGCATCCCTCTTCGCTCAGCCAACCTTCCTCCTCCTCCATCCTCTTCCTCTGTGAGAACTGTTGTAGGACAGCGGTGGGGGTGCCAGCTTTGCGGTTGCACGGGCATCGCCTGACACCACAGGGAGACACTTAGTGTCTGCCCAGCACCTCTCCTCTTTCGCAGTATCCGCTTTCTTGAGTCTGCCTCACTAGGGCAAATTCAGAATTGCCAAGGGCTCGGAGGTGGAAGTGTTTTGCTTCTCTGGGGCTGAATCCATGCAGACGTTGGAGAGTGAGGGTAGAAAGCAGTGGGATTTGGTGACAGTTGCCAAGAGTTGATTTGTCCTGTCTGTGTTGTGCAGAGGTGGCTCGGTGTAGGGCATGGATCCACGCACGTGTGGCTTTTCAGGGTGGTCACTGTAGGCTCCATCTTCTTTCGCTGTGCTGGGCTTTATTTCTTGCTGCTGCCGCGTGTCTTTTCTCTGCCATTCTCACATCTGAAGCCTGCGCTTGCACTGGGTTGTGCTGACAGGAGGCAGCGGGTGTCAATGGTTCAGGGCCAGTCTTGGTAAACTGGTACATTGATCTGGGGAGCTCTGGGAGCGATCCCTGTGCAACCTGTCCTCGCTGTGGGCGTGTGCCCTCTCTGAAGGGCTGCCTGGGCCTGGGGCCGGGGTTTTGTGGGTACTGTGAGCTGATCAGGGGTTTTCCTTTGCTTGGCAGCATTACAGCCCTTCCGTGATCACCTCCCTGGATGAGCAGGACACACTCGGCCATTTCTTCCAGTACAGAGGCACGTCTAGCCACTTCATAAACATGAATCCCCTGGCCCCCGTGATGGCAGGATCTCACAGCGCCATCAGCCCTGCCGGTGGCCGCATCAGCAGCATTGTCTCCACCAGCGCGCTGCGAGAGAGCCACGGACACAACGGGACAATAAGTAGCAACGCGGTGCTCCCGGGCTGCAGGCCAGACATCATTTCCCTGGACTAAGCCCACGCTGATGGCTGTTATTCCCTCTACCGGGGATGGGAGACAAGGGCAGGTTTCCAGTAGCTGCCTTAGGGACTGGCTTCCCTCTCTGGGGCTGGAAGGACCTGACCAAGAACCCTTCGGTTGTGTCTGTCCTCTCTCGACTGAGGCCATCTCCCTGCAGTGCAACCAGCGCCCCCAGGCCTTGCGCTGGTGGTTTCCAGTACTCCTCTGTTAGGAAGGATACGTCCCACGGCTGTATCAGTGCATGCATGTGCTCCGTTGGGATGTTCTGGGGAGGGCCTGTTTCCGAGGGTTAACCAAACCCCATGACTTTAAAGAAGTATTTTAAAACCATTTATATAATGTAGGATTCTGCTACAGATATCAAAGAGCTGAGGAAGATAATTCAACCGCCCCTCTGCTGTGGGAGCAGCACCCGCTGCCCAGAAGCAGCAAGTCCTGCACCCGCCCAAACCCCCCGTGGATCCTCACAAGTGAGGCTGGGGCTGGCTGCAGCTGCCTCCCAAGCCCCCCCCCGGAAATTAATCCTTGTTTTTAATGGAAGACGGCGGGGAGTGGGGCGAGCAGATGCAAACGGGGCTGCCTCGGATGAGGACAGGGTGAGGTGAGCAACCCAGGAGGGAGGCAGCACAGGCGCCCTGACCACGCTGCTGCCTCCTGCCTGTCCCTCTAGTGACAGTACTGTCTCAGTTGTAATTACGATGTATTTTTTTAAAAAAATGTAGATTTGTTTTCCTCCTTTTAAATATTTCCAGTGCAGACCTGTACAGAGAACAAATAGATGATCTATATTTTCAGTTGCAGCTTTTGTACATATAAAACTCCAAAGACTTCCCTGTCTCTCTATCTACGTGAGGACTAAATGAAGGTTGTGTCGTCTCCAGGGACGACGCATCACCCGTTGCACAAATTATTTATGTATTTAAATGTATTCTGTAGTTTGTAACCTCTACAGCAATGTACCTGCTGCTTTGTGAGTGTCCAAACAGGCTTGCTGCCTGCTGCCAAGCTCATCTCCGAATTCCTGCAGCGACAGGCAGATGGGTGGTGTGGCTCACAGTGAGGCTGAGCGTGGAGAGGTATCACATGTAGCAATTTTTTTAGCACTTTTTTTTGTTTTTTTTTTTTTTTAAACTGCTCCTTCCTTGAAATTCAAAGCATTGTCCGTGCTGGTGGGTCGGGACGGGGGAGCAGCGCACAGTATTCTGCTTGGATGATTTCCTATTCTTTGTATCGTAACCGTGGTAAATATTTCAATGCAATAAAGCCGTTAAATCTTGAAGATCTGCTGATTTGTATGGTGACTGGGCGTGTGGAGCTGCTCTGGTTTAGCAGGAGCCAAACTGCTGCTGCTGCTTCTGCTCTGGTGTGAAGAGCAGGAGTCGGGGGACAAAAGAGTGCGGGGCTCTTGGCCCCGGCTCGCCTGCATGTGTTCCCAAGCCCCTCTGAATGGGTTTTTGGAGTTTCTGAACTTCCGCATTCCTGAAATCCCCTGCTGGAGGGCAGTTGTTCTGAACCAGATCGCACTGAGGTACCGGTGGCTCGCCATGGGCTTAGCTCACCGATGTACCCTAACTCTGCTCTGCTTTCCCTGCAGCCAAGCTGTGACGGGATGTGCCCGGCGTGGGACCCCAGTCCCCCAGCAAGCACAGCAGCTCTGCTCCAGGTACCGCCAGGGTGACAACATGTCTTTTATAAACCCAGCCCTGTCACACACACCAGGAGCAGCTGGCAGCTGTGCTGGGGCATGTACCCAGCTCGATCCTGAGCTGCATGAGCCCTCAGAGCAGTTTCTGTATGGTGCAGGGTCCACCTTAACCCAACAGAAGCCCACCCAGCCCAGCTTGCGCACATTATTGGGGGACCCCAGTCTTGGTTAGCTGATGGGTGCTGATCCTGCCACCCCACTAAGCCATGACCTCTCTGGGCCACCCTGCTGTCCTCTCCTTGCCCTTCCTGTGGCAGGCAGGGTCCCTACCTGCCTGTCACACTCCCCCCCTTGCTTCCCTGCCACTTGAGATCCCCATCCCGCTCCAGCACAGACTCCGGTCCCTGTGGGCACTAACTTTATTCTCTTCGCCAGCGGCTGCAGGAGCAGTGTGATGCTGCCCTAGGGCTGGACTAGTCCCTGCTCCCTGAGGGACTCCAGCCAGAGCTGGAGGGCGAATTTGGTGCCCGTGCTGACCCGTTCCACGTCCTCCCCTTCGGCTGGAGCTGTGTTCAGGAAGGTTGAGGTCGGCAGCTGGGTGGTGCTGGAGGAGCCATTGCTCAGCTCTGTGATGCTGAGAGAGGGAAAGCCATTAGGGACAAGGCGACATGGGTCCTGGGGCTCTGCACCCCTGTTTCTTACTGCCCCAGTGTCCCTGACCCTGAGGCATACAGGCGTGTCCTCACCCGATGGTGGCTGGCAGTGCACTGGGACCATTTCCCAAACTCTCCGCTCCGTCCTCGGTGGCTGCGATGGCCTCCAGGACGGGGGGCTCCAGCCAGGCATAGGCGCTCACCTCGCTCTCGCTGGGACACATCCTGGCCTGAATCCCGAGGCAGCGCTCAGGCGAGGAATTGCCCCCCACCCCCCCCAGCCCAGGGACAAACCGCAATGGCCCTAGTCCAGGTGCTCACCTCCAGCTGCTCATGGGACTCAGTGGAGAGGAGCAGCAGGTAGGTGACGATGTGGTGACGGCGCGGCAGTCCCTGGCTCAGCATGGGTGGGTAGATGGACTGGCGGGGGGACACGGGTGGGGTGTACTTGCGGATGGGAGGGGATGTGGTCAGTGGGTAGGGGGATGCGTCAACTGGGTGCTGTCCCCCCACCCAGGGGTGCTCAGCTCCATGGGGGTGGTTGGTGGTGCTGAGGCCACCCTCCCCCAGCTGAGGAGGATGTTACCTCCCAGAGGCCAAGCATCCTCCAGGAGAAGGTCCCCACTTCCAGGTGCAGTCCTGTCTCCTCCTCCAGCTCCCGCAGCCCCACGTCCAGCAGCTGTGGCCAAGGAGAAAATGGAGGGGGCAGAGGGGCATGTCAGGGTGCACCAGCACCCCCAACGCCCACCGCCCCTCTCCTCTCCCAGGCGGAGACCGTATAGTCCACATGTTGTCCCCTCACCTCTTCATCCGGCTCCACGTGCCCACCTGGGAGGAGGGACAGCGGGTTAGGGGCACCTCAAAATAACCAGCACCCTGTATTTCCACTCCCCACCCCGACCGGACTCACCGGGTGGCACCCAGACGTTGGGGAAGATGCTGAGGGTGCCGGCGCGGCGGGTGAGCAGGATGCGGCCGGTGCTGGTCTGCAGCAGCACGGCCACCCCTGCGGCCACCCCCCGGCCCCGCAGCTCGGCGGGGAGGGCGAGCTC